CCCTGGAGTCCACGTCGTCTAGTCAGGTCTCACTAGAGGCCACAAGCACGGAGCATTTCCTGCATCATTTCATTAAATCCCCATCCCACAGATGAGGATTCTGAGGCTGAGAAGTTAAGTCGCTTGAGAGACCACAGGGCTGGGAATGGCAGAGCTGGGGAGAAGTTCCCTTCCCCGAGCCTCCCGCGCGCGCCATCCTGGCTGGCTGGAAGGGGCCGGCCCGCAGCGTCTCTGGAGGTCCGGCGGCTGCTGGACAGGCAATTGGCGGCCAGGCCAGTGCGTAGCTATCACTTTCAATTCCTGGGAAGAAGGTTAAATACTATTGAGGTGGCAGTGGCAAGGGAGGGGGCGACCGAGAGACTTTCAAAGGGGCCTCACTGAGTGGCCAGCCCCGCCCCTGAGGAGGGGGCCTAATGATATTCTGGGCTCGGCCCTCAGCTTTGGCGGCAGTTTAACCCGAGCCAGGGCGGATTTCTTTCTCACTGATCTCAGCTTGACACCCAATTAGCACAAGAATGGGAGGAGGAAGCCTGCGAGAGGCGCCTCCCAGCCTCCCGGGGTGCGCGAGGGGAGCGGGCGGGAAGACAAAGGGCAGCGGGCAGGGGGGCACCCGCGCCTCGCCTCGCCCGCCGACCCCGCCATTGTTTCCCTAGGTGCTTCAGAGAGGCCGGAGGCCGACGCCCCAGCTAGGCGGCGTGCTGGAGGGGACCGAGGATGGGGCCCACGGCCCTGTGCTGCGAAGATCGGAGGGGAACGCTAGGCAGGCGGAGCCCGAGTGGGTCAGTGATCAGGGCGAGGAGCCGAAGGCACACAAAACCTGGTTTGAGGCCTGACACGTAAGGGTCCTGGGGCAAGTCGCACATTCTACGTCTCAGTTTTCTCATCTGAAAAATGGCATGAGTCCCTGTGAGGAACAAATTAGATAATGCATGTGAAGTACCAGCAGGTGCCAAGAGGCAACTCAATAAATACTCTTTTTTTTTTTTTTTTTTCTGGAGCTAGGCTCTCACTATGTAGTTCAGGCTGGCCTTGAAATCATGGCGATCCTCCTGCCCCAGGCTCCTGGGATTAGAGGTATGCGTCATGGCAGGTAATAAATACTCCTTAAATGTATACCATGTTATTAAACCAACTGTGTTACTGAGGGTAAGTGAGGTAGGCTTGGAGTCAGAAATACCTCACGAGTGGCAGCTGCGGTGTAAGCCAGGCCCCTCCCCTCCCCACCTCCACTTCCCAGATCCCCCTGGTCTTGGCTCTCTGCTAGGACTTCTGGGAAGGCTTCCCTGATCCCCAGGCTGGGTCAGGGGTCTCCAACAGCCTCGCGTCTCCCCATCACCACTGCTCTTGCCATGTGGCCCATTTTGCCACTTTTGTCTTCTAGGACATCATTCCAGGAGGGCAGGGACTCGCTGGTTTCATTCACCATCGTGTCCCTGAACAGCACTGGTGCTCAGTGAATGTCAAATGGGTGAAGGAGGGCTTCAAATGCTCAGGATATCCAGCTGAAATTGCCTGAGATCAAAGGGTACAAAGTGCCCTGAATACCTTCTAGGTAGGCTCCTGCTGGCAAATACCACTCATTCTGCAAGCACTCACCAAACCCCTACAGCTGGGCATAGTGGCACACACTTATAATCCCAGCACCCAGGAGGGTGAGGCAGGAGGATTGCTGAGAGTTCAGCCTGAACTACACAGCAACACCCGGTCTCAAAAAAACAAAAAACCTTATATGCTGAGGATCTAAGGTGAATCAGGAAGAGTTTCTGCTCTAGAAAAGCTAAGTCCATGGAAGAATTAGCATATTTTGTTGAAAAGACCTTAGAGATCATTTGGTCTCAGCCACACTTTTTTGCTTCATTTTATTTATTTTTTATGAGTACATGTTTACAGTATTTTTGTTTTGTTTTGTTTTTTTGGTACCGGGGATCGAACTTGGGACCTTGCGCTTTCGAGGCAGGCACCAGAACCACTGAGCTAAATCCCAGGCCCTGTTTACAGTATTTTTGTTTTTGTACTGGGGATCCAACTCAGGGCCTTGCATTTGGAAAGCAGGTGCAGTGCCACTGAGCTAAATCCCCAGCCCTGCAGTATGTTTGAAGTATATGCAGATTACAATCATCTTGGGGAGTGGGTAAATGTTCATAATATTATAGGCAGCTAAGTTAGATAGAAATTAATATACATACAGTCAGAGAAGGCCTGGGGTCTCAAGGAAGTTGGCGGAAAAAAGAAAGACATCAGAATTGTGGTGGGAGGTGCATCTGAAGAAGGCAAAGCCTCAAAGTAAAGTCACAATGGCCAGACTTGCATACCTGCCTAAAGGATAAGCATAAATTTGAGAACATACTGTAATTTGTACCACCCAGTCTAGGAAGTCCAGATATGCATCCAGGCAGGTGACCAGGATGTCTAGACCCCTCCCTTCCCCAAATTGGTCATGTCTTGGGGGTCATAGATAAGCCACTGTTAACCATACTAGCTCTGTGCTTGCTACCTGCCTGCCCTGCTTCCCTGTTGGATCAATATTACCTAAGTGTAATCTTATTGGTTGATTATCCTTTGACCCACGCTGTACCCACATTGTGACTTTGATGTATAAATTTCCCCTGACAAAAGGCCTGGTGGCAAGCCATGCAGGACGGCTCCCATCTCTCAGGAGCTATCTCACAATACACCTTTCCTACTCTTAACCTCCATTATGCTTTGGAATTCATTCTTCAATCTCACAGGACACAAACTTGGCACATCTAACATCTAGCAAGTCAGGAACTGTTTCTCCGATATGAATAACACAACTTGGTTCTTTTTTTTTTTTTTTTTTTAATTTTTGAGACAGGGTCTTGCTATGTAGTTAAGGCTGGTCTTGAACTCACTATGTAGCCCAGGCTGGCCTTGAACTCACTGCTATCCTCCTGCCTCAGCCTCCTGAGTGCTGAAATTACAGGTGTGCATCACCATGCCCAGCTCTAAATTTTCTTTACAGACAGGAAACTGAGTTCCAGAGAGGGCAAGCGACTTAGGACATAGCTCAGTGATTGTGGGGCTATCTCACATTCCACCAGACTCCTCTGTGCTTTTCAAGAACCAGAGCTGTCTTGTTCATCCCTGGAACAGTGCCCAGCACACTGAAAGGGCTCAGAAGTGTCCAGACCTGAACTGGACAAGGAAGCTATGGCCAGAGATAAAAAGGAAGGAGATGGGGCCAGAGCAAGCAGGTATAGATGTGAGTGTCGGAGTATGAAATAGAGGGCATGGAAGTGTGCAAGAAACTGAGGTTACAAACCAGGTTAGAAAGGATTAATCCAAATTTGTTGACTGGGTGTGGGAAGAGAGAAAGAATTGAGGCCAGTGTCCGAATGTTTGGGTGCTTGGTGTTTGGCTGAGTGATAGTGGTATCTGGCAGATGGGGAAACAGCCTATACCAGTGGGGGTGAACCTATGGCACAGGTGCTGCAGTGGGCTGTATGTATCATTCAAAGCACTAAAAGGTTCACCATCAGGCTGGGCTTGGTGATACACACCTGTAATCCCAGCACTTGGAAGGCTGAGGCAGAAGGATCACCGTGGACTACCTAACAAAACCTTATCTCAAATAAATGAATGCATGAATGAATGGTTCATCATCACTGGCCTATACTAAGATCTAACTCATTTAGTCCTTACTACACTCCCCTATAAGGATGGGCTACTATCTCCATTTTAGGGAAGAGGTAAGTGAGGCACAAATATGTTAAGGGGCTTCCCCAAAGATACAGTGAGGATGTCCTGAGACCTGGATATAAAGAACTCCAAGCTCTCAACTTAATCAATGCACCCTTATCTAACAGGCTACACTCCCAGCCTCTACCAGTACCAAGTTTAGTTCAGAAAGTGCTGCAGGTTAGAGACCCACGCAGCCACATCCACTCTACTCCTTTTCTCCTCTGGGCTTTAGCAACAACCTCCTGTTGGTCTCTGTCACTTCTCTTGCTTGTCCTGCTCCAAACCATTCTCTATACTGCAGGCAGAAAAGTTCTGTTGTTGTATGGGGCAGGGCGGGGGTTATGGTGGTTTTCTGACACTGGGGATCAAATCAAGGGCCCCTCACATGCTAGGCAAACACAGTGAGCTATATCCTCAGCTGTAAAAACGATGTTTGTATGTTCACTTTTGACAGTTCTAACCTCATTGTAGCAAACTCGCTGCTCACCAACTCCCACCTTCCTCTCTGCCCTGGTTTGCTTGCCTCTTCTGATCTCAACGGACGGTCCCGCATGTCCCCCTAGTTGACTCCGGCTTTAGCGCCCAGCACGTCCCACCGGTAACTTTAGATAGTTTCTTTCCGTTTGAAATTTACACTTTTTAGTATGGTGCCATGTTTTTTGTTTTGTTTTGTTTTGTTTTGTTGAGGCAGGGTCTCCCTTTAGTTCAGGCTGGCCCTGAACTATGTAGCCCAGGCTAGCCTCGAACTTGCGGTGATCCTCCTGCCTCAACCTCCCGAGTGCTGGGATTACAGGCCTGCGCCACCATGCCTGGCAGTATGCTAGTATGTTTATATAATCACAACTCGTCTCCCTGCTAGCCTCTGAAGGCCCTAGAGGCAGGAGGAACCTTACCCGCGCCCTTTTCACTACTGAATCCAGTGCACCAAACAAGATACCCCTGGGCCACGAGCGTGTAATAAATAGCTATTGCGTGACATCTAAATCAACATCGCAAGGGGCAGGTTGGATAGCGAGTTCACCGTTTAGGAGCGAAGACTTCTGCGGCAGAAATAAAATATTTGGGGGTTGCTTTTACTTCAAGTTAGACCAGTGAATGAGCTCGCCCAAGCAGTGTGTTAGCTGAAGACATTTAGAAGTAATGCAAGATAAGCAGTAATGTGGCTCACAGTCATGCCTCAAAGACGCTGCCAACTCTCCTCGACCTAGTGATTTCTTTGACGCTGTTCCGCGCCCAAGGTCTCTTAGACTAGGAGACCTCTCCTCCTCTAACCTCGACCTTTCCTCCAATAGCTGGAGAGGACGGACTGCTGGGCTCCGCCTCTTCCGTCCGTGACACCGCCTCTTCCGCCCGTGACGCCAGGCGGCAACCGGAAATGGGCGGGCGCGCCGGAACTCAGGGGGAGTTTCCTACGAGCTAGGCTTCCTCAACATGGCAGCGCCCTTGTCAGTGGAAGTGGAGTTCGGGTGAGTCACAGAGCTGGGGCGCCGTGGGGATGCATTGAAGTCGTTGGGCCCGAAGCTCCTCTCCTGCCTTGGGGCCTGACAAGGCCGAGTTGCCGAGGCTCCGCACCCGCCATGAGCTGTACCACCAGCCTCGAGTCTGAGAGGTTCGGTCTCCCTTGGCGACAAGGCCGTATGTCCGGGAATAGAGGCGCACACAACGGCGGGAGGCGCGCTCCGGGTACTTCACGGTGTCCTATATCCTGTAGGACTCCAAAGGCACGACAGTTAGGCGGCCTCCCCCACAATCTTTACTAGTCTCATTTCCGACCAGGTCCATCTCTTTGGCATCTGAGCTCCTAGAACCTGAAACTACCACTCTTCGATGTCCTTGATTTCCTTACGGGACACTCTCCTTTTTCTTTCCCAAGAATTGAGAGTTTTAAGCAGACTGGAACTTCTTTCAGGATAGTCAGTAAACCTGCTGAGTGATTTCTGAAGATCATGAGAAATGACCAAAGAAATAGTAGGAAATTTCTTTAAGCCATTATCTCGTCCCCCAACAGAAGGTTTGTCATGGTTTCAAAGCTGAGCGTAGTGGCTCACACCTGTGAGCCCAGCACACCGGAGGGTGAGGGAGGAGGATTGCTGTGAGTTCGAGGCCAACCTGGACTACATAGGGAGACGCTGTCTCAAAACGAATAGACAACAACCAAAAAAAAAACCCCGCAAGGCTGAGAGAAAAACTGGAGAATTTAGAAATCAAAAAAAACCAAGAGACCCTAAAAATGGGTGGTTATCATTTCCAAAACACAGAGAAAGTGAGACTGTGAGAGAAAACTATGTGTGAGAAAAGATAGGCTAACGTCCATGTGATAAGAAAGGTCTGGGATGAGCATCTAAAATCTCTGTCCCCATGTTTTTTCTCTCATTGGAAGCCCCATTTCTTTCATGTTTTCTTTTCACTGGGTAGTTCATTCTCTAATCATTTATTTAGTTCCTACCATGTGCCAGGCAGTGGGCCAGATACAGAGAATACAAAGATAAATAGCACTCTGTCCATGCCCTACAGTGTTAAGCATTTCTGTCCCTTAGAATGGGGGCAGTCTCATGAATGATAAATACATTTTAATTGACGATATTGTCTAACTGCTTGGATCCAAGTACACTGGTCTGGCCTATTTTGCTTCACTGACCCTGGGCCTAGCTGTACCCTTCAAGCCTGGGGATTCTAGGAGGATCCATGCTGCCTTGACAGACTGCAGCAGAGTTGGAAAGGAAGAAGCTGCAGACTGCTATCTTTAGGGTTTATCTGTAGCCCACTTGCCTTTCGTTCTCACTGAATCACACGTAGTGTTTGTTTACCAGAGATGTCTTCTGTCTGCCAGATACATGTGGCAGTAAGGAAATAATGAGGAAAACAAAGCCCTTGCCTTCCAGAGTCTACAGACTGACACAATTTCCCCTTTTCTGACATCACCCTCCCTTACTCCCAAGAGCAGTAGTGAGCCCCAGCAAGGGAGGACAACCTTCCTGCACCCACCTTCCCACCTTCACCCACATCACAGTGCCCCATGAGCATCACAGCTTCATGGGAAATAAGAATACCCGAGTTATGTGGCAGACCCAGATCCCTTCTCTCTGTCCACGTATGTTGTACATCTGACCTTTTCATTTCATGCACCTCTTAGCAGCTGTGCTTCATCCTTTGGTCTGAACCTGAGGCTGCCGTCCCCGTCATTCCCCCAGTGGTCCTGCCTCTCCCAGTCTGGAAGGAGTCTGGGGTGTGTCTGTCTTCACTTCTAACCCCTGCCCAGACGTAGTCATGTTGGCCCCACAGCTCTTCTGTGGGCCCTGTAACACCTTTCTCTCTCTCGTCAGTAACCATTTCTGCCATCTTTTATTTTGTCCCCTGAACTGTCCTTAGAGCATTTTTCAGGAAACATGGGACTCAAAGTGTATAGTACAGATGTGTTTTGGGTTCCTTTGGTCCAGGCTATTAAGGCCCAGGTGTGAGATTGCCTTTGTCCCGTTCCATTTTCTCCTCAACAAGTTGGGGAAATATTGGCAAAGACAGGGCACACCACTGACGTCAGAGAAGAGGGCAGAGAAGTGGGCATTTTCATTCATTTGGCAAATATTTATTGAGTCCCTACTGTGTGCAAGGCCATTTTAGGAAGACCAGGTAGAGGGGAAATAAATAAGCAAGTATAAATAGATGATTTTCTTAACAAAATGAAAAAGATAAAATAGAAAAAGTGAGGGCATGGCTGGGGGTGTGGCTTGGTGGTAGAGTTCTTGTGTAGCATGCTCAAGGCCCTGGGTTCCATCTCTAGCAGTACAAAAAGGAAAAGGAAAAGGAAAAGTGAAGGAGTTTGAAGAATGTCTGTACCTGTCGCTGGTATCAGACATATCCCTCATGATGTCAGGTTGTGAGGGTGGAAGCAAGATGGAGGTATCTTAGCTGAGGGTGAATAGGAAATGCTCTAAGATACAGTGGGATTTGGCCTTGAGTCTCTGGGGCCAAAACAGGTTCCTTGTCTGCCTCCCTGAATCACTCCAGAGGCTCAGCATGTATCTTCCCCCATTCCAGATGTGCTGGCAAATGCCAGCCCCTCCCTTAGGACCCAGCAGTATCGGGTCTCTCAGCTACACTGGTCCTCCCTTCATCTGCTTCTAAAGGGAAAAACAGGCTCAGCCTCCGAGCCTGGCACCACCAGATTTGGCCACTCTCAGTTGTTTTCATGGATCCCAGTGCCTCCAGTTCACACCCTTCTTCTCTGACCCCCAACTTCTGAGCCCCTTGCCTGTCACCCTCCCCCACCCCAGCTGCTGCATGTGCCAACCCCTACCCAGGAGAAAACGAGGCTCTTGGAAGGAGATAAATGCAGGCTCTGTGCAGGCTTGCAGCTGAAATGGCCCTGCGCGCGGCCACAGATGGGCCTTTGCTCCCCCTCCACATTTCTGCATCAACAAAGCGTGACCTTGTTTGGATGACAGTCGCCCCATGTTTCCCTCATGACAATGCTTGCCTTGCCTTTGCAAGGCAAAGTCCCCAGTGGGCTGCCTTAGGACATCTCTGTTCCCTGAGATGGGGAAAGGGTGCTGGGGTGGAAGGCATCACATCTATCAAAAGTCTATTAAGACCTTCTCACTTCAGACCCTTGTGAAGTCTGGGATGGGAATAAGGAGACCCAGAGGGAGATGCTGTGTGGGACACAGGGGTCCTGGCTTCTAAACTTGGCTCTGAATATCTCTGCTATCCCACCCTTGGCCAGGTGCTGGGCCACAGAAATGAACTGAACTCTGTCTCCAAGGGGCTTTCTGACCTCAGAGAAGTCATGGGTTGTTTGTTTTGTTTCTGGCAAGGCTGCTGGAGCTGAGCGGGAACCAGTTCGATTCAAATCCTAGTGCAGCTACTGCTTGGCTGACCTTGGACAAGTGACCTAATCTCTCTAGGCTTCAGTCGGCTTCTCTGGTCAAATGGAATCAATGTTGGCCTCCTTCCTTCCCTGAGAGGGCCTGAGGGGGAAAGGAAGTGAGGAACATCTAATAAAAGACCAAGGTGATGTGAACAGTTACTCTTTGCTGAAGCTAAGCCCAGTGGCTCTCTAGGCCTCCTGCACTGTTCTGTGCCCATTTGGCCAAAAGCAAGGGACAGGGATGGGCATTTCCAACGCTGACATAGCCAGGAGAAACTGCAAGATGCACTGAGGTCTCTAGAGTCCTTCCTAGGTCTTTTTGGCATTTTGTTTCTTTGCTTGATTATACACATTCCACTTTACCACATCAGGAAATCACAGGAGAGAATCAGTCACTGGTACTCACTGTGTTCCTGCGCCTTGGTCTCTGCATCTTCCGGGGTTCTGCTGGCAGCCCCATTCTCAGTTCTTAGGCTCAGCTACCTCCTCCCGCTTTCAGGAGCTCACCTGGCTGTCTTTTCTCTGGCCTTCCTTTGCAGAGGCGGTGCAGAGCTCCTGTTTGATGGTATAAAGAAACATCAAGTCACTTTGCCTGGGCAGGAAGAGCCCTGTGAGTATTGGCTTTCTCAGTGCATCTCTGGGCCCCATTGGGCAGGAGTGGGTCTGTGGGGTCCCTCAGCCCCATTCAGATGGGAAGGGGCAGGATTTCCCTGGCCATGGTGAGGAGGAGGAAGCTGCACCAGAACACTCATCTCCCATCTTCTCTGGAGTCAGCCCCCTTCATAGGAAGTAGGTGGGGCAACTTAGTCATTACATGGGGTTTCTGTACTAACACCCTCTAGAAGTTTAGGCCAGTAAGCTGGATGTGGTGGTGCACACCTATAATCCCAGCACTCGGGGAGACTGAGGCAGGAAGAACACCATGAGTTTAAGGCCAGCCTGGGCTCCATAGAGAAATCCTGGCTCAAAAAAAAAACTTTAGGCCAATGACCTCACCTTTCTAAGCTTTAGCACTCTCACCTGCAAAGTGGGAATGGCGATCCATCCGCCAGTCACTAAAAGGAAATAAGTTGTGCCCTGTGTCTCTGTTGTGATATGGCAGTAGGGGAAGGAGCCCACGAAAGTGGCAGCCTCTGCTGAGAATGGAATGTACAAATGGCTGAACAGGCTCCCATTTCGGTATAAGGATTAAGTCTTTTTATTTTTATTAGTACATGTTAGCAGTACATAGTAATAATTACATTCATCTTGGTACATGTACGCAGCACGTCTTGATTCTTTTTACATCCCCTTTCCCCTTCCCTCCCTCCAGCTAGAAAGCCTAGAGGAGGGAGGTTGACTAAGGGAGATAGTGGATTTTTAAAAATTTGTTCATTCAAATACTTGCTAATATTTCTTAAACAAACATACACTAAGCACTTCCTGAGTGGCAGACCATGTCCAGTCATTGAAGAGACAGACATGAGCAAGAGGAGCCAGTCCCCGCCTCCCACTGGGGAGGTCCTAAAGGGTAACCTCTGGGGGTCCAGCTGGGTATAGCTTGGCAGCAGGGCCTTGGTGTGGTGGCCATTAAGGTTGGTTTGGGGTGGTACTGGAGGCTGAGCCCTGAGCCACACCCCCAGCCCATGTCGCGGTCTTTTGCAGGCCTTCAGAGCAGAATACTTGGGGCTGGGAGCCTGGGGAATGGGGTCCCTGTGGGGGACCGTAGGAAATAGTCAAGTGAGGTTTGATGGGATTTTTCTAGAATGAACACAACTGCCAGAAATCAAATGGTTATGATGGCCCAGGTTCCCTGGCTACCCGGCTATTCCTGGCCTTCCCTTAGGTCAGGGGACAGCAGCACAGGTTGGGTCTGTCCGGCAGGTACCAGGATGGAGGACAGTTAGGAGCAGGGCAGTGCTCCCCTTGAGTTGGGAATGGACAGGTGGCTGGCATTAATGTCAGGATGATGAGATTGTGTGTCCCTGCTGGGGAATACCCACAGATGACAAGATGATGTTTCTTAGTTTGACAGATGGCCACACAGCCTTGGGAGGGAACAGAGTTCACTGCCTTCTCACAGATTCAGTCTCAAAGACCTTGCCTGCAAGTTTATTAAAATATCACAATTTATGTTTTATTTCCCCTCAAGTTTGTTTGGCACAAAAACCTACACAAATTTTCCCAGTTCCAGCCCCATCTCATTAATTCACTGACTGAGTACTCAGCAAGTGCCAGGTATAGTAGTAAGTACCTTGTTCTTTCATATAATGGGCAGTATTTTTTGTGGCAGTCACTGTACTTGCTGCTGGGTGTTTGGCTTTTGCCCTGATGGAGTCAACAGTGGCATGGAAGTGGAGCTGGACAGTAAGCAAGGGAACAAATAAATATGCAACTGTAGCATTCCAAACTGTAGTGTTAGTGGGAGGAAATCAAATGGATACTTCCAGCTGCTAACTGGTCAGTGAGACCTCTTTAACTAGGTGGCGATGAGGGAAGGGCCACAGGGTTAAAAAGAAGCCAGCCTGCTGAGTTGCAGAGGGACAGCAGGCACACAAGGAGCCTTCAGGCAGTGAGGAAGCACTTACCCAGGGGTAAGAGGCCTTGGGGTGGACAAAGAACTGAAGGAAGGCCAGGATCATATGGGATGCAGGCTGAGTTTGGAGTGGTAGGAAAAGCCCCAGTTGGATATGCAAATTGTTGGCACAAACTCCTAAGAGATAGCTACCATTATTTCCATTTTAAAAGGTGGAAACCAGTCTGGGCATGGTGGCTCCAGCCTATCATCCCAGCACCGTGAGAAGCCAAGGCAGGGGGATCACAAGTTCCAGCCCAGCCTAGGTAACTTAGCAGTTTAGCAAGATCTTGCCTAAAAGTAAAAATGAAAGAAGGGCTGAGAATGTAGCACCATGTGAAGGCCCAGGGTTCAATTAGTCCCTAGTACTGTGGGGGGTGGGGGGGCGAGTAGAAAGCAGGCTAAGGATGTAGCTCAGTAGTACAGCACTTGCTTAGCAAGCCTGAGACTCTGGGATCAATCCTCAGCATCACTAAGTAAATACTGGAAACCAAACTCAGAGATTCCAGGGGTCTCACCCCAAGTCATACGGCTATTTAAATGCAAGTGATGGTAACCAGAGCCAAATTCAGGATCTCCAAGTCCTGTTACTGCTACCCGCCCATCACCATTTGACCCAAGCAACTCCCCGACATCTCTCTGGCATCACTCTAATATCTCTCACTGTTAACCTATCTTCCCATTTTTACCCTTTGGTTCATTCCTTCTTGCCTTCAACAGCTACTGAGTTCAGTTTGTGTCATGTTCCCAGTGCATACTATCTGTCATCCAGGAAACCAGACCTGAGAAAGACAGGAAGAAAGAATGGATTTGAGACACAGCCACAGTTACCTAAGAAAGGAAGCTAGTCTAGCACTTGGATTTCTTGTCCTTCATCCTCTAGCCACTTGTAGTGGGAAGGTGGGAGGCCACACTCCCCAACACTCTGGATGGAAGGAAAGGAAACAGGAGGGAAGACAAAGTATCTTTAGCTCACTATTTGGGCCCCTGCTATGGGTCTCTACTTGTTTTAGCCATTTTTACCTTGGTGTACATGGAGGCATGGGTCACACTGTAGCCAGGAGTTAGTTGGCAGCTGCTAGGCCTTATCCTGGCACGTGAGCCCAGCGGGAGGGCAGGCGCTTGGTGCTGTGGGGAGAGTCTTACTCTCTCCCAAACCCATGTCCAGATCCATCATCTGGCAGCCTTCCCAGGCCAGAGACTACCACTTGGCCAAGCCGATCTTGGAGGCTTTGGCCAAAACAGCAGCAGCCACAGATTATGGATTGTGACAGGTCCCGCAAACAAGGGGATGCAGGGGTCAGGAGAGAGCCCCCAACCCAACCAACAGTGAGAGGAGAGAGTGGGTGAGGCCAAAGAGTCTGAGACCGCAAGAAAGGAGCCCTGGCAGTGTGCCGTGCATGTCAGTGATTCGCGGCCCTCTTGTTTCCCTATCTGTGGAATGGGAGATGGGCTGTTTTTTATTGAGCTCAGTATCTGTTGACATCTCCAGTTTGGAAACGTTGCTTCCAGATCCCAGTACTTCACTTCTGTGAAGTAGAGTGTGCAGAGCCAGTGAGAGCTTTCATGTGTATGCACGCGCACCAGGGTGGTTGGTGAGATCCTCGAGCACCATCTTGAAGAGTGGATCATCTCCGAGACTGGCTGGGCTTGGTAGGATCAGCACCAGCCAGCTCTGACCTCTTCCACTGCAGGGAGCTGGCTTTTATGGCTCAAGGATCCCTAGCTCCAGGCTCCCAGGCCTGGCTCCGGGTAGGAGACTGCCTGCCTCACCTTTCCCTGTCCCGCTTCCTCCACCCTGTCCTGTGCCCTCCCCTCTGGCTCAGCTCACATTAAAGGGTGACTGGCGAGGGAGGGCAGGAGCCGAGTAGAGCTCTTGGGCACTTTAAACTGCTTAGCATGCATTTCACAGCCTCTCTGGGGCCAGCTGTTCCTTTCTCTGCTCTTGGTGCCTGTTTGCTGATCCCCTCCCCACTGCCCTCCATCCCGCCCCCCCCCCAGTCCCTGTGCAAAATTGATTTTGAAAAGATCCACTTTCTGCTTAATTAAACAATGAGGAGCGTCCCCTCACACATCTGTAAACCTCCTTCTGAGGCCAGTTTAGCCCACAAACTGCTCCATTCTTACCCCCATTCACTTGTAAATGGAGCCTCGAGGTTCCCTCCACCCACTTCTCCCCCCACCCCTTGCTAGTGCTTTCTTCTCTCTTTCAACTCGGACCTGGGGTGGGCTCCTCGGAGAGCCCTGACTTGGAGCTTGGTGGACTTACTGGGCATCAAGCTGTTTAACCTATAGCAGAGATGTAGCGACTCAACATCTCCCAAGTCTGAAGGGCCGGTGGGGATGAGGGGACACATTTGTTGCTGTAGGCCCTAGGGACCAGCAGGCCCAGTGGTGGCAGCACTTCTGCTCTGAAGGAAAGCGCACTTAGAGCTGCTTACCAGGAGGTGACCTCCTGTCCCCAAGGCAGGCTGGGTGAGGGCCTCTTGCAGCTGGGATTCAATGGCAGGGAGATCTTGAGGTCATTCTCTTTCAGCTGACCCTGCCACAGTGGGAAGTCAGTTTCCCCAGACAAGAGCAAGTCCACTGGGCTGAGATTCCTGCAGGAGCTTTCATGGGCATGCTGTAAGATGGGTTTGCCACATGCTGTGGCAGCAGCCTTTACCACAGGGTTCCAGAAGCCCAGAGGACAAGGAATCGAAGTCACTTGATCACACAACAGCACTCTGTTGGCCTGCTTGTTAGTAGCATGCCTTAATCCTCTCAGCAAGCCTGAGGAGTATGGATTATTGTCTCCCTTTGTCAGAGGACAGGTAGCACCAAGACAGGTGACATGACGTCCTACTCACTGTCATCTCACCCACAGTGCAGGTCCTTCTGGCTCCAGAGTAGAGTAGCAGCTCCCATCCCTTGCTTCCCTCAGGTGGGTGGGCCAGGACCCAAGGCCTCCCTACATGTCAGGGCGCTCACCTCCCTCCCCTGGTGCTGTGTGCACTGGTGTCCTGGGGGCACTGAGCAGCCACTGGTGTCTTACAGGTCTGAACATCTAAAATGCAACGAAGCAGACAGGTGGGTGCAGTGACAAGTACCTGCAGCCCCAGCTTCTCAGGAGACTGAGGCGGGCTTGCCTGAGCTTAGAGTTTGAGGCCAGTCTGGACAGTAGAACAAGACCTGTCTCAAAAATGGGGGCATGCAGGAGTTGGGGGTGGGGTGGATAGTGGCACACACAGGCGGAGCAGAAGTTCAAGGCCAGCCTGGGAAATTTAGCAAGACCCTGTCTTAAAAAGTAATCCGTAATTAATATATTATATATCACAAACATATACTAATAAAAAAAAGAATGGATGATAGGAAGCAGAAAAAGATAAATAATTAAAAAGGGCTGGGGGCTGGGTGGGGATTTAGCTCAGTGCTTCTCCCGCCTGTCTCGCAAGTGCAAGGACCCGAGTTCAATCCCTGGTACCAGGGAAAAAAAACGGGCTGGGGGTGTAGCTTGGTGGTAGAGCACAAGGCCTTGGTTTCGATCCCCGGTAAGTAAGGAATGAAGGCTAGCCAGTGCCTGTACCCCTCACCGCTCTCCTGTTGCTCCCATTCCTGTCCAGCTTCTTGTGGGAAGGCACTGGACCCCACAGAAAACCCCAGCCAGCCCAGCACTACCCGAGTAGTGATGCACCTCACTCCCCAAAGCTGGGGGCCAGGCCAGTGGGCAGAGGATGTGGAAGCCCAGGACAGCAGAGAAGGCAGAGGAGACAGGTTCTCCCTCCGATGCAGGCATAGTCATAGCATCGCTGTCAGGCACAGTGCCAGGAGCTGTATCTGTGGATCATTTTACTCCATCCTCAGAACACCCCTGTAAGGCATTCTGACCACCCTATTTCACACAGCAAGGAAGGTGAGCCTCTGAAAATTCCTTTCCCAATCTCAAGTAATGGAAATGATGGCGTCCAACTCCCAACACCAAATCGGCGCTGTCACCGTGCTTTCTATCCCTGACTCGGCAGTTGTCCACATGTCCAGCAAGCATTCTGAGCCCAATGGTGCTGAGCCCTCTGCCCCTACTCCGAGAATGAGAACAAAACTAAAAACGCTCATGTTTGAGCTGCATCTTGTTTGACGCATCAAGGGCTCAGGGCCTTTGGAACACACTTGGCCTGGGGTTCCTGGTGCGAGTGGCCTCATCCAGAGCAGACCCCTCATGCTGAGCTGTTTGCCTTCTCTGCGCTCCCATCCTGAACCTGCCAGTTCCACCTGCCTTAGGTCTTTCCGAGTGCAGCTCCCCCACTTATCCTTCAGGCCTGAGCTTCAGTGTTAACACGCTTGGAAAGGTCTTTCCTGATCCAAAACAAAGGAGGTCAATTTATCACAACTAATTAAGTAATGTCTGCCTCCCCTGCTGGCCTCTCAGCTTGGTGAGAGTAGGCTCTGTGCCCATCTTGCTTACTGCTGTCTCCCTTGCACTTGGCACATAGTAGTTGCTCAGTAAATGTTTGTCTTGTGAATGATTCCATGGGATCCCAGGAGGAAGACGGCCCTCAGTAGGAGTACGAAGGCAGGAAGACACAGAGTAGGAAAGTGGAAGTGAGACCCCCCCCCCAGCCCCCATCTATCCCAAAGCCATCCCCAAGCTACCAGCCCCTGACTCTGCTTAACCCTTCCTCCTCCCCTGGGCCCCTTTGGAAGCCGACCATCTGGCTGGAAGCCTATTTGCATATTGTCTGGGCCTCAACAAGCTGAGCAAGATGTCCCAGGGGATGTGTTTCAGACCAGGCCAAGTGGCCCTTGCAGCCTGCGAAGGGAGCCATGAGTTCCACCTCTCCCCACCCCCAAATCCAGGCATGGGGGAACAATACGGGTGGTGATGCGGTAGCCTCACCATGGTAACAGGCTATCAAAAATGTGTGCAGGCCCGGGGTGGGGGCAGGCAGAGGAGGGAGGGAGTGACCTCAGCAAACAGGAGCATCATGATAAATGAGCCAGCACCGGGACTCATCCCCCGGCCCACCCCCTGGGACTCCACGACAGTACCATCACGTGAATGACCCCACCATGACCACTGGCCCTCCCCCACCCTGGAGTCTACTCAGCATAGCAAGGTGCCCTTCCTTTGGAGGATCAGGGCTGCTCCCCAGCTGAGTCCTGGCTCTGTGGTGAAGGCCATTTAGGTCTATGGAGGTACAGCCCATGGTCCCCAAGCCAGGTGCTGCCCAGTGCCTCTCATGCCTCTGCACACACAAGCACAGCCTCACCCGCCAAGGCTGGCGATAGATATGTCAGGCCCTGGTGGCTCTATCGAGCGGCTACAAGATGTATGGGCTGGCGGCCTACCAGACAGTGGTGAGATGGAGGCCAAGAGGATTCAGGGCCAAAGGGAAGCCTCTGGAACCTCGACCTCAGGAAGGAGCCCACCACAGAGCCAAGTAGACCACAGCTGGCTGCAGACAGGCTCTCCCCACCCCGTGCATTCCAGGGACTAGGGACTCCAGCCTGCTTTGTTTAGAAGGAGGAATTAATATTGTAAGGCACCAGTCTCAGTCATAGACACTTTGCCTGTGGCCTGTGCACTGCTGGCATCAGATCCAGGGGTGTTGGCGCTGAGCAAAGAGGACCAGTCCATCCAGGCTGCATCCCTCCTGCCAGGGTGGTGTACAGGCCAAGGAGAGTGCCTTTGGCCCTGCTCAACGCAGAGGCTGAGCATGTGCCATGTCCATGCTTCGGGGCCCACACGCTGGGGGCAGAGTGAAGCAGCCTGTCCCTTACCTCACATTGGGACCCTTGGCCTAGGCTGGTCAGCCTGGCCCCTGCCGGGCCCTGCCCCAGCTCAACCCTGGAGCTTTGTCTCGGGCACATCCCTGACAGCAGAGCCCACTGAGATAGACTTGGAACAGATGCTGGTTGGGCCCAAGTCCCCCACTGGCTTCCCAGAGACTGGGTTGTCTCCTTAGAGTCTTTGTCCTTAGGTCACCTTTAAGAAAGCAACCCCCAGCAGCCTTAGAACTGTGTTTGAGGGATCGATGGGAGAGACCCTAGGTACCAAAGAGTTCATAGGGCTGGCTCCCAGTCCTGGGGAAGGAGAGGTGACCTTGGGGACAAAGGGACCCAGTGGCTGTCCCAGAACACCACTCCCCCAGGAGGCAGGACCTGGTGTTTACTGAGGAGATGCCCTTCGACCCTGAACCCCTTGTTCTTCAAGGTGGCTGTTGCTGGCCTGCGGGGGCTGTGGGAGGAGGAGCCGTGAACAGTGATTTGTCAGCATCCCTGGCCGGTGAAGGATCCTCCACTCCCTCTGCTAGAGGAAATTAACTGATGCTATCAGCTCAGTGATTGTTTTTCTCCCCTCACAAAAGGAAATATATCCAGACCCCTCCAAGAGCAGCCGAATCCCCCATGTGGGACTGGCTGGAGAGATAAAGGTGGAAGGGGCTCTTTGGGCCCTCGGAAGCCTGCCTGGCACTATCAGACCAGTTTCCAGCACTCATGCGGAGGGCTCTGTGCCCTGGCTCTTGGATGTGACAGTTTCTCCCACTGTCTGCCTCTAGTCCTTACTAGAGGTAGAGGCCGATGCTTCTCAAGGCCAGAGGCCACTTTCTCTGAAGACCTCGCGTTCATTTCCCTATCTTAGGAACACACAAGTTCACGAGCATCACAGTCTGATCTAAAAGAGGCCTTGGGACCCCCATGTTTGCTTCCTCCTGGGCCAGGCAGGGCTTTAGGGTTTAGGACTCTGGTCTGACGTTAGTTTGTTCTGTGCCTTCCTCTCCAGGGGACATCCGGAACCTCCTTGTCTGGATCAAGAAGAATTTGCTAAAAGAGCGGCCAGAGCTGTTCATCCAGGGAGACAGCGTGTGAGTCCCCTTCTTCCTTCCCTGAAGAGGGCAGAGGGAGGGAAGGATGTCGGAGCCCCTGTCCTTGAGTTCAGCCTCGGCCTCCTCTGTCCTTGCCTCCCTTTGTTCCCTCTGACTCCTCTAAGGAAGGCGCTTCCATCCAGCTCTTGTCTCTTTTCAATTTTCTCATTACCACAATGGACTCTTGGGCATTTGTTAAAAACCCAGATGAAAGGATCCTGGTAAATTTCTCCAAAATTAATAGCATTATGCCTTGTGGTTGCCACAGATTTGCTGTGGAACCTTAGGCGACTTCTTTTGCTTCTCTGGGCTTCAGTTATCCTCTCCATATGGAAACAACTAAGAAGTTGCTGCCCACTGTCACCTCAGCCCCGGAGTGTCTTGGACAGTCCTTTCCCATGAACTTTCTGTGGTGATGGAAATGTTCTGTATTTGTGCTATCCAGTGTGGTAGCTGCTGCCACGTGGGGCTGTTGAACCCTTGCAGTGTGGCTGATATGACTAAGAAATTATAACCATTCCATTTTATTTCACTATTTGAAGAGCCACCAGTGCCCAGAAGATACTGTGCAGGACAGCACAGGGCTGGGATTTCAGAGCGTCGTTGGGTGCACACTCGTACGTACTCAGGCACACACTCATGTGGTCTCCCCGACCTGTCCCAAGCCCAGCTCCTAGCAAAGAACAGGGTTCCGTGTAGCGAGAAGTCACTTTACTTCTCAAACCAAGACAGCCTCCTGTGGTAGAGAGGTGAGCAGCACAGTTGAGCAGCGCCTTCATCTGCCTCGAAGCATAGGTCACCAACAGGCCCTAGGGGCCAGAGCTGCCACCAGGTCCTGCTTCAGATTGTGCTGCAGCAGTCCTGGAGGCCACATGCAAGGACAGCAGCGCTTCTTGGGCTGCTGCCAGCAGGAGCGAGGCTAAGCTTAACATTCAGATGCTCAGGGCCACAGGCACTGTCCCTGACCCAGAACAGCCAAGGAGGCCTCACCAGGATGGGCATGGATGAGGCTTAGACACCCGAGATCTCCTTTCCAGGGCCTAAGATGTTAATATTGAAAGTGGTGGCTCCTTCTGGGCTGAGGATTTAGCTCAGTGGTTCCACAGCCTGCCTCACAAGCACAAGGTCCCGAGTTCAATCCCCAGTACCAAAAATAAGAGAAAAAAGTGGCTCCTCCTACTGGGTGTGTGACTGGCAGCATGGCAGGCCCCAAACTCATGTTATCATGGCCTTGCGGGCAGGCAGCACAGAGAAGCAAACAACTTGCATGAGGTCTGGCTGGTGGTGCTGGCATCTGTACCCATTTTCCACCTGGTCCCAAAGGTCTTGACTTCTACAGACTGCAGCCCCACTCCCTGAGAGGTCTCTGACCAGACCTCAGGAGGAAGCGCTCCCTGCACTCTCTCCCATGGCCCAAGACTGTGCCTCCTGCCTTCGCTTTTGCTCCCTGCTACTCACCACCATCTTTCCCACAGGCGGCCGGGAATTCTGGTGCTGATTAACGATGCCGACTGGGAACTGCTGGTCAGTACTGGGGACTCCTCTCCTGGCCCCTGCTGCTTCAGTGGGAGTCTGAGGCCCCTCATCAGGGCCAGCGAGGGTGGACAGCCTCTGTCCCACTGCAGCAGCCACACTGAAGCTGCTTGAGTTCCCACCCCAAGTGCAGAGGGAAAGGGCAGCTGGAGGTTTGCTTCTTGATGTGTAGGGTGCCCTCTCCCCTTTGCCTCCTAACACCTGGGGAGAAACCGGGCTCTGCCCTGATGTCCTCTCCTCTCTCCTGCCCCAGGGGGAGCTGGACTACCAGCTGCAGAACCAGGACAACATCCTCTTCATCTCCACGCTGCACGGTGGCTGAGGGCCCCTATGCCCGGGCCCTTGGAAGGGGGAGCACAGAACAGTCAGATATCTCCTTGGGCCCCGCTTCCAGGTCTCCCTGTCCCCCTTGGCTGCCTTCTTCCCTGCTCTGTCCCTTGAGTTCCCTCCAGGCAGGGAAAGGAGGCCAGGTGCTAAAAATGAGCCTTTCTGGGCACATGAGCAGGGAAAGCAGTCTCTGGGGGCGTCCCCTCCAGTGTGTCAGGAGTGGCAGGGGCTCTGTGGCCAGGTGACCCAGCTGCCTTCTGCTCTGTGTGTCTCAGTCTAAACGCTGAGTGACTGCCACCAACGAGGCACCCTCGCTGCAGGGCCATCTTGTAGGGAAGATGAATGGGCCTGAAGAACTGAAGGTGGGCCCCTCCCTTCCAGAGATCCCAGGACTCTTCGCCTCAGTTTCCCCATCTGGACAGCAGAGGGCTGTGCCTGTCCCCCACTGATATCATTATGGAACCCCAGCTGGGGTCCCCTATTCAGTGCTGACCCCCTTCCCCCAACCCAGCAGCTGCTCTCCCAGCCACACCCCTCCTCCCCTTGCTCCCCAGCCCTTGACCCTGCCCCCCCCCCGGCCACCAGATGGGCTCCTGAGACCCTCCCCAGTCTTTGTACCGCTCATTCTGCTGGGAGTGGAAAGGGAGGAAGGAGCCTGACCTTGGACTGCCCAGCAGAGACCTGGCATAGGGGTCAGTGTCCGTCAGTTGCTTCCTCTGCAACAACTGAGTATTTATAGTGTCTAAACTTGGGGAGATACTTGATGACACAAGTTAGGGTTGCAAGGAAGCAGGGTAGGGGCAGGCAGCACGTGGTAGGCAGAGCGGTTTGCCCCACCTCCCTCCATGCCTTCTGGAAGTCTAGGGGTCTGGTTGCCTGCAACAGCTGGCCTTGGGCAAATCAAAGCCTAGGTTGTTCACTGGCCTCGCTGGGAGCTACCTCCTTAGAGATGGGAGGTGCCGCATCTGTCCCCTGCCACAGCCCTGGGATGACCTCCTGTCCTCTGCCTAGGGGTCTCAGAGCTGCCATGCGCCCGAAAGGCTGAAACTCAGACTGCCCTGTAGAGTGGTCCTGTAGGGGTATCTGGAGAAGGAGGTGCAGGGCCAGTCTGCAACCCAGGACACAACCCAGCCAGGCTTTGTCCCCTCACCTGCACCCAGATCCCCTGGCCCTACACTAGGAATGGCATGGAAGACCTGCTGAACCCCCTTGCCTTCCATAACCTGGAGAAAAGAGCTTTGTCTTGCCGGAGGGAGACCTTAAAAAAGAATGAGGGCACCAACATCATCCTGCCAAAGCCCAGAACATTGCTTTTCATTAAATGTCGATAATTTAAGGTGGAAATTTCTCATCCTGTGAAGACAAAAGCATCAAATGTCCTGGCATTGCTGGGGGGTGCCCCTCATTCTCTTAGGGGACAGATGACCTGGCCAGTGGACTTCTCCAGCCTGCTGCAGAGAAGGCTCCTGGGAGTGGTGGGGACAACCATGTTGGGGTTACAGTAGGGGCCGGGCTCACCAACCCTCTCTAGGCAGGGCTGAGGTCAGGGTGTCCCTAATGGGGGACAGAGCAGGGGACCTGCAATGGCCCGACAGCCTCACTGCAGAGGGTCAGCCTGACCTGATTCCTGTAGGCTGGAGGTCCTGCCTCCCTCCAGCTCCTGGGCTACAGACTGGCCGGCTGTCCCACAAGGGATCCCAGGTCCTGGAAACTGGGTCTGGGATTCCTCTCCGTGGCTGCCCAAGAGGGGTTGGGGCTGAGAGATGCAGGGTGTCCCTGCCCCCACCGCACTCCAGTTAATGCTGAGCAGCAGAGCAGGAGAAAGGCTCTGGGGGAAGCTGGGTTCTCCCTGCAGCAGGGATGCCTGCGCCTGGGTGAGAACTGGCCAGGGTCGAGGCAGCCTGGACCCCGAAGGTCTCCAGCCCCATCCTGAGCCAGAAAGGGGTCAGGACAGGTGACTCTGGTCCACCAGCAGCAGCTCCCAACAGCCCCCTCCCAAGCAACTCCTGAGCCCTGCTTTTGAGAAAATAAACGAATAAATAAACCCCACTATCTCCGAAGATTTGTCTTTAATGAAAAGGATTCGTTTGTCCAAGTTCTGCTTGCAGAGCCCGGTAGTCCTCCAGCTGGAGCGCATCGTTCCGTGAGCTTCTCCGCCCCACCAGTGGTTGGAGGCTCAGCCCATCCGTCCGTGCAGAGGGGCTTGTGGGAGGGGTTGGTTGGTTTGGGACTTAGGGCTGATGTAGGATATTTTTTGTTTGGGGGTGACTGGCCCGGGGATAGGTTAGAAAAAATTCGAAGCGAGTTAGCAAGCGCGCTCCCCCAGCATCTGCTTTCACCCCGACTTCCTGCGGCTCTGGCCGAGGGCGGGCTTCTGGGACCACACCGGGTCCGCAGCTGCGTGCAGCTTCATTCCGGCCGAAATTTTAAAGGGGGAAACCCGACGCAATCGGCTGGAGGACCCCGCACCCGGACGGTCACTGCGGAGGAGGGTCAGGAGGAAAGAGGGTGAGGATGGCGGCGCCGGTGGCAGAGAGCAGCGTCCCTCCTTTGCGCGGCGCACAGGGGCCGCGATCGTCGCGCCGGGGCCAGCCAGCTGCCCGCCCGGAGCTCGGTCCCCGCGGCCCTCGTCCCTGTTGCGCCCGGGGCTCAACCACAGATGTCCAGCCACAATTCTCGGTTGGCCGCAGACTCGTACAAGAATTGCGTTTGGACAATCAGTGGCGAAGCCCCTGAGTTCAGGGCCCCGGGCACCTGCAGGCTGCGCTTCGCTCCTTAAACGCGCCGGATCTGGAGGTCTGCGGAGCTGCGCGTCGGAATACCTCGCCAGTGCTGGGCGGTCGTGGCCCATCCCGCGGTAAGGTGAATGGACCATCAGGCACACGGATCCCGACCAGCATGGGGATCCCCATCACCACCGGCGTGTTGCCTTCGGTCGCGGCCCGGGGTCCCTAGAGTGGCCCGTGTTAGATCTCCGTGCTGCCCCAGCTCAGGGGAATCTCCTCTGTCAGGCCCGGGGAACCCCGACTTCCCTCTCCCCGCCCCTAGCCAGGGTTTGCTGGGAATCCAGATAGCTGGGGCCCGTGGCCAGGTCGCGTCTCGAGCTCGGGTCCGGGCTGCTGGACTCACGGGCCTCCCGCCCCCGCCCAGCCCCGCGCACGCACCGGCTCGGGCGCTCTCCGCTTCCCTGTGGCTGAGTCGCCGGCCGTAGCCCGGGCGGCGGGGAGCGCTGGAATGCGCCGCTGGGTCACCTGCAGCGCCCGGGGAACCGGACTGGGAGCCGGCGCGCTGGCGAGGCGCAGGGCTGAACCCGAGCGGGCGCCTCTGGCGGCTCGGGGCCGGGGCGGGCTTTTAGTGGGCCGCTCCAACAATACGGGCCTGGCGCGGAGAAAGGGGCTCGGCTGCAATTGGTACTGGATTTGAATAACGCCACGGGGCCATCAATGGTCATTGTGTCGGCGGGTAATGAATCTCCGCTGTCTCTCGGGCTGGCCAGGCAGCTGCAACCTGCGCTCAGGCAGCTCTTAAAGACATAGCGTGCCCCTCCCTGGGGGCCACCCCCCCTGCACCGGCCGGACCCCTCGGCCTCCCACCCCCATTCGGCGCCCTTCAGTCCTGGCGCTCCGCCTGCTCCCTCGGCCTGACCCCTTCGCCCATTCCCCCTCCCTCCTGGGCCAGGCACCCACATCTCGGCCCTGCACTCTGTGGCCCTGACGCAGGCCCCTGGCCTTGGCTGAGCTCCCCAAGAGTGCCCAGGGGTCTACAGTCCTTACAGCAGCTACATCTAAACCTACGGCCTCTGGAACCCTTCTTCGGAAGCTCCTGCCCAGGGTCTTCCAGGGAGGGTGAGGGAGAACAGTCAGGAGGTCAGAGGGTCACCCCCTTAGAAGCCTATACTGAATGCTCTCGGGTAGGAGGGTGCAGTCCCAACCCCAAGACCAAGATGCCATCTCCAGAGACCACACCCTCCCTGGGGATCTGGAGGCTGCACCCTCCCCCACGGAAGACAGGGCTTGATTCCCAGGCCCCTGCAGTCTCCTGGATACCTCACTCTAGCAGCAGGGGTGGGGAGCAGGTGGGTGTGGGGGGCGTGGAATCTAGTAAGGCCACTGTCTTTTCCTTGTCTCTTGCATTGGACAGCCCACTGGGCAGAGGCTCGGGGGAAGGGCCAATGCACCCCCGCCCCACCAACCACATCTGGCCCAGGGAAGACTCTCAGTCTCCAGGGTGAAAAGGACCCAGATTCTTAGGCTGTAACCCCTAGGAGGGGAATGTGTGGCTGTTCTACATCCTGTCTTTCATATACCCTGCGGGTCCCCACACACCCCTGCCTCTGCCCTTGCACTCCCTAGAATGCTCCTCTGTCCTCCCAATCTCTGGGCAGCCCGGCCATGTGCCTGGTTGAATTGTGATTGTCGGTTTGTCTGATTCTCCTCGCTAGGACAGGAAGTGGGTCCTACCAATCTTTGTGCCTCCAGGGTTTAGTACAGTGCCCTCCCCCCAACCAACCCTTCTGAGTCTGGGTGTTTTCGAGCTTGCCCTCCGACTTGAAAATGAACCACATAGACTTCTTAGAGTTTCTGACAATAGTTGACAAGCACAGCTTCTGGGCTTTATAGAGAGGCAGCCCAGCCCACCAACTCCTGGGAATGCTCCACTTGATAGTAATAACTAAGAGTGTCTTATGAGCCAATCGCTAAGAGCTTTAAAGGTAGTAGCTTAGCCTGGCATGGTGCCATATGCCTTCTGGGAGGCTGAGGCACGAGAAATCCAAGTTAGAGCACACCCTGAGCAATTTAGCAACTTAGCAATAATATTGTCTCAAAATTAAAAAAAAAATTAAAAGGCTGGAGATATAGCTCAATGTAAAGCCCTTGGGTTCACTCCCCCACACTCCAAAAAAAAAAAGTAATTTTCCAAGCATGATATCATGTTACCCAGGAGGCTGAATCAAGAGGATCATTTGAGGATCATTTGAGCCCAGGAATTTGAGGACAGCCTGGACAACACAGTGAGACGCTGTTTTAGAAAATAAGTAAATAAAACAAAAACAGTAGCTGATTGACCCCTCATAACGACTTTGAGAAGTAGGTGCTACTATCAGCCCCACTTTATAGATGAAGAAACTGAGATTAGTGAAAACCCCCCTGCCGGCAGGTGATGAGCCAGCGTTGGGGGCTTTCAAACTCACCACACACTGCGGCTTTCCATGCTGGACTTAGCAGATACAGAAGAGGCAGACATAAATGCTGAACTACAAAGCGAGAACCTGTCTCAAAAAAAAAAAGGGGGGTTCCAGGAGACACCTTGTGTCCCTATAAATAATAATCCATTCCCACCCCCATCCTAGCCTGTGTGAACGTGGTTGAGGTAAAGCAGGAAAGGGAGTAGGGGACTCCAGGCCGGTCTAGCTGCATCCTAGGAAGAGGGCTTTTCTGCCTGCTGCTCAAAATGTTACCATTGTGTTGTTTAGTTGAGGGAATCAAACCCAGGGCCCGCATGCTAGGCAAGTGCAGTACCATCAGGCCATGCCCCCAGTCCGATGTCAGCACTGTTTACAGGCCAGCCGCACCAGGCACAGGGGTGCACCTGTAATCCCAGCTAACTGGAAGGCTAAGGCAGGAGGATCACAAGTTCAAAGTCAGCCTGGGCGATTTAGGGAGCCCTTGTAAACCAGGCGGGGTGGTGCACACCTAGGATTCTAGCACTCTGGGAGCTGAGACAGGACTGCAAGTTCAAGCCCAGCCTTAGGCTTGACTGTTTTAAAACACCACAATGAATGTATAATTAATTTATGTTGAGATAGTAATGTTACAAGGGAAAAGTAATTCCAGGATGGATGCCTGTTGTCCCCTGCCCCAGCTGTGTTGTCACATCAGTCCTTACCTCTTCTGTTAGCTCACAGCCTGAAATGTTTCTATTTGATTCTCACGATGAATCAGCTACCATAATCCCATGGAACGAGGTCTTTTCAATTAAGCAATTTAAGCAATTAAACAATTTAATGAGACCCAGTCTCAAATTTTTTTAGAAGACTGGGGATAGCTCAGTGGTAGGGCTCTTGCCAAACTCCTGGGTTCAATCCCCAGTACCAGGGGGGAAAAAGAAAAAGCCCATCGGTTCTGGGCAGAGAGTAGCCTGGTGCCCTCACCCTCGGGGAATGAGGAAGCAAGGTCTTCCCTCCAGTCGTGGGGTGTTTATGGGACGCCTACCGTGTGCTAGTCAGGGGCTCAGCATAGACAAGACGTCGCCGGAGGAGGCAGATCACTGAGGACAGGCGCCCCAGGAGCTGGGAGAGAGGCAGCAGCGATGCTGCACGTCTCCCATCCAAAACTAACGAGTAAACTAGAACAGGGTGAGTAAGAAAAAGAAAGAGGGATTTGGTGTGGTCGGAGCGCAGGAGGAAGAGGAAGTTTCCGAGAGCTGGGGTCGACCCTGCCCGGCCCCACAGGACCCTGGGAGGATTTTCGATTTTATCCTAAACGCTGTGGGGATCCTGAAAGGTCTGACAAGTTCAGATTTACATTTTCAAAGGTTTGCTAGGGCTCAAGTGTGGCGAGTGGGGAGGGGGAGGGGTCAGATGAGCTGTCGGGAGAGCAATTAGGCTACCGCTGCTCTGCAGGTGAGCAGTGGCCTGGCCGTCCCTCCGGGTGACCCCCAGTGAGCAGCATTTAGTGACCTCATGTGTCCTCTGGTGGTGGGGGAAGCTACCAGAGTGATGTTGCCCCAGCAGAAGTAGCCCGCCAGTGGACGGGCAGACGGCAGACACACAGGTACCCAGCCAGCTCCCCCCACAAGGAGCAGAGCCAGGGGAAACACTTTAGCTGAAATCCTGGCAGCGTTCTCCCTGAGTGCAGGAAACTTCTCCAATCGCTTCCCAGCCTTTTGGCTAAGATCAAGTGTAGGAAACTTCCGAAAAAGGCAGCCTTGCCTAGGGCTTCCAGGATGAATGACTTCTGATAAGCCGAACCTGTTATGCCTTGGTTTTCTTTAGTTCCTTTTTTTTTCCTCATGTGACAGGGGCTCACTATGTAGTCCAGGCTGGCCTTGAACTCATTAT